CACAACCGACTGCTGAAAGTGGCGGGGCGCTTTGGGAACTGCACGACATACACGCTCTCGCTGCCACGGGGCTGTCTTCGACTAACCACATCCAATTTAAGAACATCGAGGGCCAAACCTAAAACCGTGCACACAAAACAAACTCGTCGGGAGAGAACACAGGAGTCTTTGTCCAAGTCCAAGGGCCAGAAGGGTGGGCGTCGGCCCACGTACGCAGGAAAACAAGTCCATCTCTGAACGTCACTTTCGATTAGCTCGCCTGGAAACCCGGGCTTCCGAAGGCCAGACAAGCCGGGGCCGGAGCAGAGTTCGCCGCGGCCCCGGACCCTCAGCCCAAGGGCCCGCGGGGCCGGGCCCACCCGCGTCCGACGGCAGCTTCCCGGGCCCCGCTCGCCGCGCGAGCTCGCGCCGGGAAGCAGCTGCACTCACCGCGAGGCCGGCAGAGACGGAAGCCGCGCAAGACGCGAGCACGCCGGCCGCCCGGAGCAGCGGCGACGACGACGCGCTGAAAGCTCGCCCGGCGAGCCCTGGCCTGACGGCCCCCCCCAGATGCTAGATCTTTTGATTGCCAAGCACTATCAGCTTTCTTCACCACATTTGCTTATGCACCCATTTTGTCTTCAGCAATTGTATCAGGAAGCTAAGCATCACAGAATGCCAGGTTTTTAGACCAAAGTGTTCTTGAATTGAGGGAGTACTTGAGTAGAGGCCCAATGTCCATTAGATACCTTAATACTTAACATATAAATATATGTACCTAGATCTATTTCCCTATCATTATATAGAAATATATTTACATATGTACATGCCTGTATTTAGACCTCTGTAAGTGCCATGTGCCTCCTAGTTCTTTCCTCTATTTCCTTTTACTTTCCTCTTGTCCCACTATCATGTTTAGCCTTCATTTGGGTTTGAGTAATTCCTCTCAGGTACATTGCCCTCCTTGCCATTGATTTTGGATCACTTGTTGTTCCCTTCTCCCTGGCTTTGTTAACACCCACTTCCTTTCCCCCTCCCCCTCTCCTGTGTCCCTTGCAACCATCAGTCCCATTTCTCCCCCAGATTTTTTTAGCCTACCTATTTCATCTAGATAAACATGCAGAGATAATAATAAACATAAAAACAAGGCAGAGCAAAAGAAAACAATAACAACAACAAAACAACCAAAAAAAGAAAAGCCTATCAATAGTTCCAGGTCTGTTTGTTGACCTTTAGGAGTGTTTTCTGGTCCAGTCTCATTGGGTGCCACACGCTGGTCCCAAAGTTTATTTTTGGTATTGCCCAAGGACTTCATTGCTTTGCTCCCCTTGCTGCTCTGTTGCAAGCCCTTAACGTTTCACCCCAGATCTGGCACAATTCCCCCACTGTGCCTCCAGTGTTATTCCTCGAAGTGCTATGGGTCAGTGAGGAACTTCGTGTCTCATGGTGGGGTCAGCACTATAGTCCTGTTTGCATTGGCTGCTCTGAGCAGGAATATCATCCTTGGGGCTTAGTGGGCCAGGATGTGTTACACTCTCTCTCCTTCCCTCTTCCTTTGCTCTTGTGTGCTCTGATCAGATACGCCCCTCTCCCTGAGCTGTGGCTTCAGTGCTGTCCTCTGAAGTGAATTCTTTTGGGGGGACTGGGGTAGGGGGAGTGTCCCTCTAGTTGGGATTGGGGCCAGCCCCATTGACCTCTCTATTGGTTCCCTGCTTCATGCTGGTATGTTGCATTCATATCTTGGCACACTGGGTTGAATGAAGTCTACTGATGCCTTACTTTAGACCATTATGCTGCACTTTCAGATGGCAGCATTCCTGGATATCACTAGGCCTTCTTCACCATCTCATTTATTCTTATTCTTCCATAAGAGTATATTTGCTTATCCCTCTTAAAAACATTATTTTCATTTCCCTGAGCATTTCTGAAATTTCTTAAAGTGAATTGGAATAGGAGGATATTGAAATGTCGCAAATGGTTACATGGTAGATATTTATGGACATTATAATTATTGATTGTTGCTCTGATCCTAATGAAAAGAAATTGTACACATTGGATTAGTAACTGCATTCTTAACAGTCTTGATCCCCCCCCACCCCCCCAGTAATCCATTTCTATTAAAGTTGTGTTTCCTTCTTACGAAAAGGAAGAAGATTCATCTCCCAGCAGTGGCTATCATCTGCCTCTGGCGTCGCCATCTTCCCAGCTTTGAAAGAGCAGCTCTGCACCTGGTGGAAAAGCTGATCTCCACCGAGACAAACAGTCTGCACAGGGTCGAATGCTGTCTCAAAGATTCATTGCTGGTACGTGCTGCACTTCAAGGACAAGAGAGAATGCGGGCCACTACCGTTACTGTTAGCCAGAGAAGAAAAGGGGGCAAACAAGGGGTCGGAGAGCAATTAGACTCTTTAAAAAAAATCATACTTCGATTTCATTTTAAAGATACCTAAGATGGGGACATTTCTGCAGGTGGTAGAGAAAATGGATTCAAGGCTTTCTCGATTCTGTCGCACCTCAAGATCTCTAAAGAAGAATACTTCATATTTCAGTGTGAAAAAATAGGTTTTTAAAAACTGAAGGTCTTATAGAGGAAGAACACACTGAGAAGGGAATTCAAGTAACAACCTTTTAACTCTTCTCTAAAGGAAAATTAAATACTCAAAAGAAGCAAAGTAAAAACAAAAATTATGAAGGTAATATTCAACACAGCAAGTAATTAAATAATAACTTTTTTGAATGATAAAAAAAGAAGCAAAGTAAAACTAAGATTTCTGTATGCTTTCTTTTTGTGGGAGGCTGTCTCCACATGGGGACTCCACAGTACCCTCATAGCTAGTCAGGCGGTCTGGGACCACTCAGCAGATTTCATAGCTTGACCAGTCAGGATGTTGACCTTGTGTGGGAGGGAGCCCAGTGGCATCTGTGTGCCTTTGTGTAAAGCTAAAAATCAAACTCATTGCCATTGAGTTGATTACGACTCATAGTAACTCCACAGGACAGAGTAGAACTGCCTCTGTGGGTTTCCAAGGCTGTAACACTTTATGAGAGTAGAAAAATCTCATCTTTTTCCTGCAGAGTAGCTGGAGGTTTTGAACTGCTGACCTTGTGAGCAGTCCAATGAGTAACTACTACGTACGACCAATGCAGCCTGACAAAAACCACTTGGAAAACTCTAGTGTGTCCTGCTCACACAGCATCTGTTCTATAGGCACCCCCAAGGGCTTCCGCCTGTCTTCTCCTTGGCCCATGGGAATGTGGCTGAGAGTGTTTCTTGTGCAGAGGGAGAGCACCTGTTCACATCTTATGTTGTTGCTGAGGAGTCAAGCATATTCTGTGCTGGCCATGCTGGCCTGACTGAATCTAGCCAATCCAACCTCCCAGTCACCTCTGCTTTATTTAATTTACTTGGAACACACACTCTTCTTCTGTTCCTTTACAAGTAGCAAACAGTGCAATCCACCACCATAGGGACCTGATAGGATGGGCTGCCCCACAGTGTTCCAGGGGCTGCAAATCTGTACTGAAGCATGCTGCTTCATCTTTCTCATGGAGTGTCTGCTGGGGTAGAACCACTGACCTTTCCATAGCAGCTTAATTATTAGCTCACTATGCCACCAGTCTAAAAGTTTCCTCAAAGAGTCAGTTGTCATCTTCCTCTGTTCCATTTCTCTCCTGAGGCCCCTGCCTTCCCTGCTAGCTCACTGGAGACTGTTGGTGCCCCACTTTGCCTTCCACTTCAGGGACTCCACTCAACTCTCTGGGTCTCAGGATGCCCAGGCGAACGTGGGCAGTGTTGCCCTCCCCTGCCATCCATGCCACCTCACCAGACAGAAAGGTAGCACAAAGAGGCACAGAAAGACTGACTTGAGAGTTTGATGGGGAAATGAAAAAATGGAAGATTTGCGTATGAGAGGCCCAAAAGGGTAATTACAACTTAACTTTACCATTCCAAAATGGTGTAGAAATAAAGGCAAGGAATAAAAAACACGTCATATTTAACACAATTACAATGAAACTCAAGTAAAATGAACAAAGGCCCCTGCAGTCCCTCCCAAGAACGACTGTTTCTGTTTCTATCTTTCTAATTTAAACGCTTATTCAGTAATGTAAGGCAGGGTGTCAAACTGGCAGCCCGAGGGCCGCATGCAGCCCCCGAGGTAATTTTTTGTGGCCCATGATGCTCTGAAATAAAATAACAAGGGAATTGTGTGTACGTTATTGCCTCAATCTCCCCTAAGCACTATTTTCTTCATAACAATTTTTTTTTCTATTTTCATTTTATTTCAGAGCATCATGGGCCACAAAAAATTTACCTCAGGGGCTGCTTGAGGCCCGTGTGCTGCCAGTTTGACAGCCCTGAGGTAAGGCAATCTTCTCTGGTGTTCTGCAGTGAGAATGTACGATAACTGGCCATGTCTTTGCTTTGGGAGTCTATCTTAAAATATCTTTATGTCTTCTCCATACTGGAAAACCTAAGCCTCACTGGCTTGTCTAAATTGGCTTGATTCTGGAACCTTTTAGCGATCCTTGGGCCCTCCCCTGTGCCCACTCCTGCCCTTCCGGTCTGTGGAACTCGGGCCCTGGGCTTCCCTGTGCACTAGTGAAGAAGTAGCAAACACTCCCAGTGAACATCACACCATGCACTCTTCAGTTTCTGGTTCATAGTTTAAAACCATCTCCCTCACTCAACAGCTTCGCAGCCAGCTGATTTCCAAAAGCACTTATCAGGATCCTGTGTGGGGAGATTCAGAGCTAGCTTCAGTGTGGCTAAAGGGGTATTCTAGAGGGTATGATTTGGTATAATTGATTGTGGCGTTTTCAGGATGTGACCTCTCTGTGCCTTATGGTTCAGGGAAGTAATTGCAGTGCAAATGGGGAGCTGGGGCCCTTGATGGGTGTGGATCAGCTCACAGCCATGGCAGGCCCTTCGGTGCTGGGAAGCCAGGCGGATTGGACTGAGGTTATGACCCAACTTTGTGATTAGACAGGTAACCTGAAGAACCACTTCCTAATTGCATCAACTGATTCACTATCACAGCACAGTATCTAGGTGCCGTGACAGCACTGTCCAGAGGCATCAGGGAGACAGCTGCAACTCAGGTAGCACCAGACAGCCATGCACCCCTCCAGGAGAAATTTGATACCTATTATATTATATTTGGATTTTGAGAGTAATTACAGTGTGATGGTCTAAGTAACTTGTACTTTGTATGGAGCACCATTAATTATGTTTCCATCCCATGGGACCCTCCGAGATTATTACTGGAAATTCTATAGTTACCAAAACTTAACAAAAACAAAAGATAAATGGGTGATAGTCATTGCACAAAGCTAGATAACATCTCCAGTATCCTTTGGCCTCTTGGGGACTCAGAGGCCTACTATTTTCCCTTAAGATTCTGAATAATAAAGAGGTGATGCAATGTCATCAAAAGCTAAATGGGTCCACATGCATTGGGCTTTTAAAATAAAAATAAGGTTCCAAACACCTGTTGACTTTTGAAGTTCACCCTTTGGCTGCATGGGCTGCACCATCCTAAGTTCCCTGGCTGCCTACAGTAGTTGATAGCTCTGAAATAAGTCAGGAGACTTGATGGCACTGTGGGATAAGCACTGGGCTGCCAACCACAAGGTCAGCCATTCAAACTCACCCTCTGCTCTGAGGGAGAAAGATGAGGCTATCTACTTCCCTGAAGATTCACAGTTTCAAACCCCACCGGAACAGTTCTATTTCATCCTAAAGGTTGCTGTGAGTAGGACTTAACTCCGTGGCAGTGAGTTTGTGTAATCTAGGTACAGTGTGAACTCCATGTTTGGTGTTGATGTGCAGACCCCTTCTTTGAGAAAGTAGGCTGTCCAGTGTTTCTCTTGAAGCCCCAGGCCCTGGGAGATGGTAGTCCATCGTTCCTGATCTGACCTTAAAGTTGATGTCAGGAAAGCAGTGACAGCCATTTGCTAATTATGCAGCTTTCTTGGCACCGCTAGGTTTCCCAAGGCTGGCCTTAAAACAAAGGATGCTGTGCTTCCCAGTAATGATTCTACTCATCCAGCGCAGAAAGTTATAGTGTGGATTCCATATTCCAGTGGAAAGTGCTGGCTGGGTGGTAGGTAGCACTGTGGTTGGCCGCATCCTGGCTCCCTGGCAGGCCCTGCATTCTCTCTCTCCTTGGCCGGCCCCACATGCCACCTGACACGCAGGCTGAGTCCGAAGAGATGTTCCTCTGTGTGTAGGCCTCCTTGCTGAGGGCAGAGCGGGAGCAGAGGAGGGAGACAGGAAAGGCTCCAGGGAGGGCGGGCTATTTTTGTTTAATCGGTTTCTAAGAGAACACTACTAGCATTCTCTTCGAGCTAAGTGTCTTCAGAGTGGCTTGAAATTTTTCTTGTTCCCAAATACAGAATGTTGAGTACCCATATAGCTCAATCCTGTGTGTGTCCTCCTTGAGAGGAGATAGGATGCAATCTTCCCCCTTGTCCATTGGAGCCACTCCAGAAAACAAAACAAAGCAACCTCATGTTCATGACATTGTGGCACACCATTCCCCTGAGTAGAGAAGAATTAACTCTGAACTCTGCTTGAATGACTTTTCACTAAGGTTCTGGAGCTGTCTTTTTCTCCTTTTGCATTATCCTCCCTGAAAGCATTTTCTTTTTGAGCTCTTTAATGCAACGTGTGCACTGTAACAAAATCTGGTAAAACTAACAGAGCCTCAGTAGAATAGGAAAGTATAGTGGTGGTTTATGTATGTAGTTGATAGGTAAAGATTGCATCTCCAGATAGCAGTTACACTTCCCAACATCGACCTCAGGGGGGCACCAGATCACCCAGCTCGGTCTACACGAAAGAGGCCAAGACTCCAAGTTTGGTATTCACTATTGGGAACGCAGGACTTTGCCACCAGTCCAAGTCGAAGGGATAGGGGAAAATACAAAGCAGCTACAGTTGACTCAGAGCTGGGGTTGGGCCTTGCCACTGAGAGACTGAGCTGGGGAGCAGTAGGAAGGGCCCTACAGAGCTTTCCACGGGGTTGACTTGTTCAGCTTCCAGAAGCTAGACCTCCCATTCTACCGCACGCCTACTACTATTAACTTAGCATTCTCACAGAGCGAGAGTATATTTAAAACACAAAGGTACTTTTGACAGGTTTTTTTTTAAATCCAGGAATGACAGATTTATCACTAATTAAACAATAATTGCGTTAAGGCATACTGGGGAAAACTTGCTTGTAGTATAAACAACATCTGGTAAAGATTAAAAAGAAAAAATAGTTTTTCCAAGCTCAAATTTGTTGAAAGAAACTTGAATGTTTGGGTACAAACTAAATCCTAAAATGTAAAGGGAGGAGTATTTGCAATTTCATGTTTAGTATTTTGAAAGAACATGCCATAATGAAACATACATATTTATAAAGGTGACTTAACTTTATGTGATAGACTTGAAAGTTTTGTATAAGTAGATTTTTTAAGCAAATTGGTTTTTATTCAATAGGAGTTCACTGTTGAATCTTAAAAGATCATGTTTTTTTAAAGAAGACATTTTGTTATGAACATAAAGAAGAAACCCAAACCTACCGCCCTCAAGTCGATCTGACTCACAGTGACTTTCCAGGACAGGGCCCACTGGCCCTGTGGTTCCTGCGACTGCAGCTCTGTGGCAGTAGACAGCCTCGCCTTTCTCCCAAGGAGCCGCCGCTGGTGGCTTCAAATGACTGAGGCGTGGCTAGCAGCCTAATGCATAACCACTGTGCCATCAGGACTCCACATTATGAACAGTCAGCCTGTGACTTCTGTAGGGACATCGCAGGGCTCTCCCTCAGCCCTGAAGGTTATTGGCTTGGAAGAGTTGGGCACACTGTGGGGCTTGACTACCAGGCTGGGAGGGGAACTGGAGGAATAACTTCTCATCAGTTGATTTCTTTCATTGGCCTCGTTATGGTGAGGGTCCAAGTCTCTGTATCTAGATTCAAGCCCATTTGGAACCCGGTCCCATTGTTATGTTAATGAAGCCATACCAGCCAAGGATGTGCCTTAAACGTCATCACTTGCTTTCTATGATTTTCTGTATGTATAAGTAAGTCTATAGAGACAGTAACTGGATTAATAAGTTACCTGGAGACATGGCAAGGGAAGGATGGATGGAACAGGGGGGTAACAAGGAGTACAAGAAAGAAGTAAACGTTCTGAAATTGGTGGTGATGATGATTACACAAGGCTTCTTAACATGATTAAACTATTAAACTGTATGCTGTGTGAATATGCTAATAAAACTGTTAAAAGAGAGCAGAATAGACCCAAAAGGAAGCCCACTAGGCTGATCTCCAAGAAGGGCTCAGAGGAACAGTAGAGAAGCTGAGACGGATTCTACCCCTCCCCACCCAAGTAGCAGGGCCTGCCACACAGCTGGAGCCCTGGATATGGTCTTCAAGCCTCCTGTGGTATTCTGGGTTTAGCTGCCCTAGTGAACTGAACATCATTTCTTTGCGCATAGTGGTAAAGCTGCCAGAAAATAGTCTATAAAAGAAAAATCTATGCTTCCTGAGTTTCTCCTTTTACCTGGAGTTATGCCACCCTCACCCTTTTTCAGAAAAATATCCTTCATGGTAATAGATGAAAAAGGCTTGAGAAAATAGTTTTTCTTCTTTTACTCCATTTATCATTTTTCTAACTTTGTCTCAGATCACTTCAGATCCTTGTGGAATTATTTCCATTCTAGTTTGTGTTCCTATGTGTTCCCTAACACCCCAACCCCAACCCCAGCTCTCTGGTCAAACGTCCCTGGTTGCTTTCTGTGGCCGTCTGCAGTGCGGGCGTGTAAACACTAGAGGGCGCACGTTCAATGTTACAACGTGTTCGTTCACCCCAACTAGACGGGGAGACTGGAAATAGGCACCATTCCTCCTTCCAGAATACTTGAGAAGGAATGCCTATCCTGTTTTCTTTTTCTTGCTTAACGGGCTACGGAAAATTGATTCTGAAGGAAAGTACATTATTCCTCGAGAAATTGCCCTGTAGAAATTCACTATATAAATGCCTTCATTCACTAACTTTTGAATGCTATTATACACCCCCTCGGAGCCTGTCACAGAAAGATTCAAGGGATAAATTTGACAGCTTTCATCATTCGAGATGACAGCATCATTATTATTTTTTGGGGGGTCATTAATCCTTTTTCATCCTAAATCGTATCAATGGTTCAATGTATAGAGCCCTGAAATGTGATGACATTTACTCCACTATAGTGAAAGCCAGTGCTTTCTGGAGTAGTCATTCTACATTATTAAGCACTCATTATATATCAAACAAAACTCCAGATCCTCTGCCGTTGAGTCTGTACTGGCTCATGGGACCCCATGTGCCATGGAGTGTGTTTTCTTGGCTGTAGTTTCCATGGAAGCAGATCACTAGGCCTTTCTTCCACAGCACCACTGGGTGGGTTTGACCCGCTAACCTTAGGTTAGTTGGTGAACACACTCAGGGGCCTTCATTATGTCAGAAGCAGAAAGAAAACTATAGCAGGTCCAGGCTTGATGCTGAGGTACTTCTGAGCCACTTGAGGTAGTGTGAGGGAAGCCAGCTCCCCGCAACTAATCACGGGTTCGGTAGGCGCAATTGTATGGTTAAGATATATACAGATCATAGTAAAGTCATAGAGAAAGAGGAAGAGATGGGAGAAAGAGAGTAAAATAAGGAAGTCAGACACATTTCATGGTAGCATGCTTACCTCAGCTCCTCTTGGTGATACACGTGGAGGTGGGGGATGAGAGGGCAGGAGAGAGCTCTCATGAGGTTTTATTTCTAACCAAAGCTTATATATCTTTGGGGGCATGCAAGCCCTCTGATTGCAGATACCAATATACGTCATGAGAAGGGGTTGTAACATAGGCAATAAGAAGGGGCTGACCTAGGGGTGTACAAATAGTTCAGGGAGGGAATAGAAAGTACACATGTGGCAAGATGGGTGGACCTTAGACTCAATATAGTAGCTTAAGGTTAGTCACCTTTGAGTGGTCCTGGGCTTGCCTTTGGGCATTCCTTTAAGGGAACAATATCAGAAGGGAGTGGGCCCTACTTTTGGTGAGTCAGACTATATAGTCTGGTTGCTCTAGAGACCCTTAAGGAGAATAACCTCTGACCTACATTCAGTGACCTTGTGTACAGCCATTTACCATGGGTAGCAAGCAGCAGCATCTATTTGGGGGAGATAATTTGGTAGAAGTCTTTTTCCCACAAGGTAGGACACTCAGGCAGAGTCAGGGTACCTCCCGGTGCAGACGACTGTCTTCATGTGGCATTCTGACAGAGGGGTCTTCATTTTCCTTGATATTTAGCAAGCCTCTCTTCTAGATCAGGCGACTTCAGAAAACGTGAGCATACAGAAGAATATAGGAGGGAATGAAGCCTTTCCACAGCCCCTGTTCATATCCACATGCAGGGCTCTTCCAGGGAGGCATCATGGGTGTGCGCTTCTATTCAACCCTAAGGACTGTGCCGTCACAGGCAGTTGTGGACAGTTCTCACACTTGGAAGTAGGGAGCCATTTGAAATGACATGCTTGTGACATTTTAAGTTCTCCTTGTCTTTTCCTTTGCAGCCTCAAGCAGCCTGTCATCCTGCCCTATTCCGACTCGTGGACGAGGTCTTCAGGTACATTTGAAGCCATTCTGCAAGGCACTTTCTGAAAATGCTCGCGTTCCAAGCATGAACAGAAAATTCTGTTCTCATGAGGACATGAGCATTTCTGATTTCTTTTCAACCTTCTGGCTTTTTGGTAGTTAGACATACAAATTCGAAAGTCAATGTGTATTTCAAAGCCAACACACTAAAGTGAAGACAAGATAATGGCCCTTTTCCAACCTTTTAAAAATTGTAATAATCATCATAGAAGAACACAACTGAGTTAAATATTCATGTAGTGGTATTCTCAGCTCAGAAAAAAAGGGGTAGTATATTCTCTTCACCACATGGGGGCTAACCAATCTTCTTAAAGGATTTTAAAACAAAGGAAACCCAAGGAAAATAAAGCCATTCATAACAGAGCTCTCTCCCCAAAGACAAAGCAAGTTGCACATATTTGCCCAAAGCACATAAACTTTTATTTTGAAAAAGCCATAGAAGTGAATTGGACTTCATGTGACAAAACACAGAGCAGAGGGCTGGGTGTCGGGTTGGACTGGGGCAGGCGGGCACTTAATGGGTGTCATAAACATGGAGTCCTGGAACCCCCGGGGGAGCTCCTGCCCCAGTAAGCGCTTGTAGCCCCCTGCGTGGGTGCCAGTGCATCCAGGACTCTGCCCCCAACATACCCCTTCCCCACAGAGGAGCTGATTCCAGGAAAGAAATTCTTACAACAGTAAATAATCTAGGACATGGGCTGCTGGTATCAAGACTTATTAGCCACTTAAAGTTAGATGAGCATGGAAATAAGAAGTCAGATGCCTCTTGTCTTTGAGACTGAGGAAAATTGGAGTTCACGCTTTGCTGTATGACAGTGCATGGCAGCCAGCTGTGTACCTTCAGATTCTTCTGTGCTTTGCTGGGTGAATGTGAGTGAGTCACTGACCGCTTCTGGGCAACTCCTCCTCTGCCTGCAAAAGCAGAGTGTCACTCCACACTGTGTGTCCAGTCACATAGTGCCCACATCTTTGTAAAAACCACCCAGGCCTAAGTGCAGGATTTCCTAAATTACACACCAAGAAGGAAAACTGTGCACAGTGGAATTCAGGCTCTGGGGCAAAGGGAGTGACGGAGCTCCTGCTTCACAAGTGGGTGGAAATCTGGTGAGTGGACATTCTGCTCAAGCCTGTTTCCACCCTTCCCTTTCACAGCTCATATTCCTGAAGTGCTATGGTACTCATGTGCTCTGTCGTCATCTGACTTTTCTGTTACTCAGGTGTGCACTCCTGGAAACCGATGGAGCCCCCGAAGTAGTGGCTGCTCTTCAGGTGTTCACACGAGGCTTCCTAGATGCTCTGGAGAGAGAGAACAAGCAGGTTTGTTAGGTGGACAGGAGGTGGGGAAGAGAACTTGGTTAAACCCCAAGAAGGAGCACTTGATTTTTAGGGGCTTTGATGGACTTTTTGCTCATGAAACAAACAAACAAACAAACTTCCAAATGAATGCCCAGCAAAGGTGCAACCATTTTAATTGAAAATAAATCCAGAGTTCTTGTCTGCCCCTCCCCTATTACCCAGGGGCAATTACCTACTACTGTTTACCCCCTGCCCTGATACCCAGGGGCAGTTACCTCCCACTGTCTGCCCCCTGCCCTGATTCTCAGGGGCAATTACCTACTACTGTCTGCCCTTCCTCTGTTACCTAGGGTAAATTACCTACTACTGTTTACCCCCTGCCCTGACACCCTGGGGCAGTTACCTGCCACTGTCTGCTCCTTTAGAGGTGCACAGTCCCTATGGACACATCTGTTCTGCCCTGTAGGTCTGCTGTGAATCTGACTGGACTCCTGAGAAATCGAGGGCTGGGGGGAGAGCACACTGTATACCCCCTTGAGCCGACTTGCAGGGTGAGCTGAGCTCTCCACTGTCCTGTGGGGACACCATCTGCTGATTGAGACCTTAGGCTTCTTTTAAGCGTCCCTGTCCAGGCATTGTATCAGGCATTGGGGGAAATATATAGGCTGTGTTAAGTAGAAAATGACACTGTTTACAAAGCAATGTTGGACATTCATCATTATGACTGAGCATCCATTCTGGTCTAAGGCCCAAATGTGAATTGGATTCCAGGGAAGGAAGGCAGTGGTAAGAGTGGCAGTGGAAGATTGGAATGATTGTGAAAGGAAGAACTGTGAATGGCAGTGACCATGAGGTGTGCGTTAAGCACAGTCAGTGAACGGGCCAGGTGTTGACTTGTAGGAGACTGTTGCCCAGTCATTTAGCAAAAGCCCACTTACCGCTGCCAGGAATCTGCTTCAGTCAGGGTTCTCTGGAGAAACATAGCCAGTAATGTGGAATTGGCTCATAGGATTATGGGAGACTGGTAAATCTAAAACCTGTAGGTTAAGCAACAGACTGGAGTCTCCTGTCTGCATCCCAAAATCCATAGGTTAAGTGACAGGAAGACTAAAGAGTGAAGAAATTCTGGCAAAATGTTTGTCTGGGGGTAGTGAACACACTAAAAGGGACTCCCTGGCAGCTCCAATGCCCTTCAGCTGATTGGAAGAGTGCCACTCACATTTGGGGGAGCCTTGATCACTACATATTGGGCTGCTAATTACCAGCTGCTGGTTAAGAGAAAAAAGAAACTTTCAACTCCTATAGATTAATAGTCTTGGAAACCAGTAAGGACAGTTCTACTTTTTCCTACAGGGTCCCTATGAGTCAGAATTGACTTGATGGCAGTGAGTTTGGTTTTTTGAGTTATGTTTTATTTAAGGCCAACTGGTTTAACCACTGGTAGATCAATAGTAGAATTCTTGTCTTTGATATAGGAGCCATGGGTTCTATTCTTGACAGATCTGAAATGGAGCCAGACACCCATCATCCATCATTGGAGGCTTGCATGTTGCTATGATGAGCAGATTTCAGCAGAGTTCTAGACTAAGATGGATTAGGAAGAAAGACTTAATGATCTGAGAGAAAAAATTACCGTATATACTCAAGTATAAGCTGACCCGAATATCAGCCAGTGGACCTAATTTTACCATAAAAACTGCATTAAGAACATGCTGAAAAACTCAGCTTATACACAAGTATATACAGTAGCCAATATGAACCTAGAGGATCCAATGATCTGATCAGCACCATACAGGGATGGTGCAGGACAAGGTAGTAGTCATTCTGTTGTGCCTGTGGTCACCATGTGTCAGGGACTGGCATACTGGCAGCTAATAACAGCTGTGTCACAACAGAATTCAAACTGGTGTTTCACCAAGCAACTGGGAACCTAGCCCAATTGACACATAAAATTAACCATCACAGGGCTAGTATGTTAGACAGGGTCCTCTAGAGGAACAAAATGAGAACACTTGTGATTTTATAAATATTTATATAGATAGATATATACAACATAAGAATTAAACAGCTAATTAGTCTATAGAGCAATACAAATGGCTCAGAGAAACTCACTTCCATGAGACAGCTAATACACTGGCAGCCCTTCTAGTCTTCAGGGCCACTGGGTACAAGTCAAGGAAGCAGACAGCTGAGTCCTCTGTAGAGCAATTCAGGCAGTCCAGCGACAGGCAGCAAACAGCAAAGCAGGTCACCAGCAGTCAGCCAGATGGCAGTCCCCAGCTCAAGTGATGTATACTCCAGTAGCATGGCGAAGCAAGTCTTGAAGGAACTTCAAACTACAGCGACACAGTCCACGGATTGGGGTGTTCCACAGGTAGTGTAGCTCACAAGTTAAGGCAGAGAACCAGCTAAGGCAGCCACACACTGGTCCAATCATGAAAGAGCAAGAGACAAGAAAGGCGAGGCTCACCGAGCCATAGATCTCTCCACCCTTTAATTAATCCCACATGTGTTCATTGGCCAGGTTGACACAATAAACCTACCTATCACAATCTACCCCTTGCCAACTTGGCACCTGTACACAATTCTTTAGCCGTATATAATTTCCAGACATCAGTGAAAGCACACTTGTACTTAACATAAACATCTATCATACATATAAATGAAAACATACTGAATCCAATTGTATCTAATACAGCCTACATGAACAAAGGAAGATACTCAATAAGCACATATTAAGAAAATAAACTGACAACCAACAAACCTCACTTTTGCAATTGATCATGTGGTTGTAATTGATAGGTAGAACTACCTTCTTCTATTACCCATTCTGTATTACCTTTGCCCTTAGCAAGCACCTCAGCTGGCTGTGTTTTTTGTTTTTGGTTTTTTTTGTGTGTGTGCCTGGTGGAATGACCCAGACCTTCATTCCTGAGGGGTCTGGGCCATTATATGTCCTGTCAGGATTAGGTTGCTGTAACCTACCATTTACTTTAATCACAGAGCATGGTAGCACTAAGAGTCGGCCTATGGGGTCTCCTGGATTCCAGACATATTCTTTACCTCCATTATGTAACACCAGTCCAATTTCTCCTTGGTAATCAGGATCAATCACACCACTCAGCACAGTGACACCCTTCCTGACCTGTTGATCCAAAGGCATGAGGAGCCCAAAGTGGCCAGAGGACATTCTCAGCTGCCAGTTCAGTGAAATCCGTGCTGTATTTCCGGGTGGGAGAGTTCCTTCCTTCGGGACCAAGACCTCCAGGCCTGAGGAACACAGGGTTGCTAGGACAGGAAACAAAAATGCTGCAAGTGGATCACTAGGAGTAATAGTGAGTGGTGCCACTCCAGCTTCCACCCTTTGGTTCCTGGACCCACGAATTCTGGCTATTGGAGACACAGCACCATATATTGGCCGCTGGTTTAGAGCATATACAGCTTCCTGGAGAACATTGCCCCAGCCCGGCAAGTTGTTGCCACCTAGCTGGTGCCGTAATTGTGTCTTTAGGAATGTTCCATCATTCTGTCAAGCCAGCTGTTCAGGATGATGAGGAACATGATATGACCAGTGGACTCCATGGGCATGGGCCTATTGCCACACTTCATTTGCTGGAAGTGAGTTCCTTGATATGAAGGAATGCTATGTGGGATGCCATGCCGGTGAATGAGGCATTCTTTAAGTCCATGAATGGTAATTTTGGCAGAAGCATTATGTGCAGGGAAGGCAAATCCATATCCAGAGTAGGTGTCTATTCCAGTAAGAACAAAACGCTGTCCCCTCCATGATGGAAATGGTCCTATGTGATCAGCCTGCCACCAAGTTGCCAGTTGATCTCCCCGAGGAATGGTCCCATATCTTGGACTTAATGTTGGTTTCTGCTGCTGGCAGATGGGACACTTGGCAGTGGCAGTGGCCAAGTCAGCCTTGGTGACTGGAAGTCCATGTTGCTAGGTCCATGGATAACCTCCATCCCTGCCACCATGTCCACTTTGTTCATGTGCCCATTGGGCGATGGATGACAGGAGTGGCAGAGGAAAGAGGAGGACCAGTCTCCACAGTGCGTGTCATCTTATCCACTTGATTGTTAAAGTCCACTTTAGAGGTAACCCTTTGGTGAGCATTCACATGAGACACGGTTATCTTTACTTTCTTGGCCCATTCAGAGAGGTTTATCCACATACTTCTTCCCCACACCTCCTTGTCACCAGTTTTCTAATCATGTTCCTTCCCATTCCCTGACCATCCAGCCAAGCCATTAGCCACAGCCCATGAATCAGTATACAATCTCACATCTGGCCATTTCTCCTTGAAGGTAAACTGAATGGCCCCGTGCAGGCAAACTGAATGGCCACTACTCGAAGTTCTGCCCATTGGGAGGATTTCCCTTCATCACTGCCCTTTAGGGAGATCCCAGAAAGGGGCTGTAGTGCTGTTGGTGTCCACTTACGAGTGGCACCTGCATATGGTGCAGGGCCATCCATAAACCAAGCATGACTTTTCTTTTCTTCAGTTAAATTATCATATGGAACTTCCCAGGAGGCCATACATGCAGACTGAGAAAAGGAAGGTACTGTGACAAGAGTGGAGACTGTGGGCATTTGGGCCACTTCTTCAAGCAGCTTACTTGTACCTTCAAGTCCTATTTTGGCCTGATCTCATATATACCACTTCCATTTAATAATGGAGTGTTGCTGTGCACATCCAACTTTATGACTCCGTGGGTCAGACAATACCCAGTTCATGATGGGCAGCTCAGGCTTCATGGTGAGTTGGTGGCCCATG